ACTGAAGCTCTCTCTCTCTCTCGCTCTCTCTCTCTCTCTGCAGGAATACAGAGCAGCAGAATAATGGATGCTTCTGTCATGAGATACGCTGAAACTCTATGATGCTGTAGGTGAGAGAGAGGGGGAGAGAGAGAGAGAGAGACTCCGAGTGGGGCTGTAAATAATGCCTGCCACTTGAAAATAGGTCTCTGGAAACTGCCCCCATGTTGTGTTCCTGCTGCCGGTTGATGAGTGGAAGTTTTGTGTCGATGCACTTGAGAATTCAAGTATTATGTGGTTGAAAACATTTACACAACACAGCAAAGTTCCTTGTGTAGAAGAAAGGCGCAACAACATTTTTATTTACAGCATCTAAACAGTGATATTTCTGTACAAAAAAGGTCTAAGTTAACGATCAAGTGACGCAACTTAATCGCAATGATTGGAAATGCTTCTGCATGACATCCATATTTAAATTGGCTGTAAAACACCTCAAAGATCATTTTAGTAACTTTTTTAGGTGTGCTAAAACTGGAAGACTTAAACTCTATATTTCAGAGGAGCAAGATACTAAAGAAAAATCTAAGTAATAAAGTCTGATGAAAAAACGTTATTGTTCTTAAGAGAAGCCAGGCGGCCTCTGAGATATTGAGACGTCTACATTTGGCCTGTGAAGGAAGCTTAATTAATTTGAACAGCTTATAAAATGTCTTTTGTGAAATCAGTCTTGATGATTCATTTCAAAGTGTGAGAACATAAAAGTCACAGCAACAAAAACTCTCTGTACTTTTTGTGGTGTCCTAGTTTTTTTCCAGGCATATATTGTCTACAAACTCTGCATATATTGTAACTTAATATTCATAATTTGTGAATGAAACCGCAAAAAGAGACATTTTTTCCGGGGTCAAAGTCAAAGTCTCTGTAGTTAAATGATAAAACTAGCTTGCCTTGTGCCAAGGATCTTTAACAGGGGTATTTAGGCTTCACGTTTATGTTATGTATTCACATTATAATGTTTGCATTTTAACAGCAGGAACCACCTAAACTCCAGCAGTTTGAATGAATGGAGCCACGTTTAAGGTTTCAGTGCTCTAAAAAAAACAAACTGTGGGAAAAAAACAGATTCATGCAATATTTTAACCATACGCAGAGACTTCCACACCTTCAGGAAACATGCCTGTTTTTCACACACTTTTGCTTAAAGCCTACATTAAGAGCTGCTGACTCCATCTGTTTGGGTAGGCCTATTTTTAGACTTCTGTTTAATGCTTTTTTATCTTTTGTTCAAACATCAGACCACACTGGAAAAAAAGTTATTTTTCCATGCAGCTGGGTAAGATTAAATATTCCTATATTGACTTTTGCAGAGAAAATATATTGACTTTAGTATGAAAAGCAGACAAAGTGGGTCTGGAGTAGACACTTCTTAAAGCAGGAGGGGGAGGGTAGAGAAACTGATCCCAAGTGTGACGTTCACTAAATCACTGAAGAGTTGGGGAGTTTAGGGCCTTGGCTGGGAATTATCCACCGATAAGGTGGATGAAGAAAATACTTTTTTCTTTCTTTCAGAGAGCTTCACATTCCTCTCAGACTTAAACAGTGCACCGTCCATGAGGATAACCTCTCATAAAGTGGGATGACATAGCTCCAGCCCAAGTAGACCGGGGGCAGACCAAAGACCTGACATGCACTCGTCCCTCTCTCTCTGACTCATGCTTAGTCGTTCACCACCCACCGACACACAGTGAAACCTCAGTCCCAATGCCAGGTTTTGTCACTGGGCAGAGAAGCGGTTGGCTACAGTAAAAGCATGACGTGATGCCCCCTTCCTCTTTGCTCCCCCAGCTTGTGCAGCAACAGAGGGGTAAAAATATCCCACCAGTGAGTTCAGACAACCAGCTCATAAATTAACACTAAAACTCCTACAGACAACAGCGGACCGGTCGCTGAGAGATTTAAACCGCTCAGGTTGCCCGTGACCACAGCTCCGGGATCAGCTTACAAAAGCCTTTTCCTAAATTTACCTATTAGAAGGTGTTGAATAAAAACAAGCTCCGGTTCCGTTTTCGCCTAAGTCACTATTTAGCTGTACGGCAACACCGCAAACTACTTCTTGAAATGGCTCTGGGGCGCTTTGTTCCAGGAAATGTTATTAGGTGTGTTGTAGGCTATTAAGGCCTAAATTGGGAATCAAGTATAACAGGAAGGTCTGTTCTTAATTTTCCAGAGCTTACACAGAAAATATAAAGTATAGGTTTAGGCCCAGTTATTCGCCCAGATCTTATTAAGGCTCGTCTGCAATGAAGCGCAATCTCTCGTCGCTCTCAAGTAGAAACACAATGTTCCAGCAAACTGCTTGACTGAGTAAAAAAAAAAAAAAAGAGGAAAAAAACAACAGGAGAGAAGAGTGATGATCCCCTCTAAAGAAACTCAACTCTGTAATGGACGGACAGGGATTATAGACGTTAAAACCTCCTCCATCTGTAATTCACTGTCACCCTGCCATCATCTCTGAATCACTGATCCATTTTGCAAGTGTGTGAGACCTTGCTAAAAGCATCACTGTTGCACCCATTTGTGTTTGTAGTGGTGATGGGAAGGGAGGGAGGGAAAAAAGCAGGGGAAAAAAAGCACACGGAGAAGACAAGTTAACAGCTCGCTGTGCTGTTTCAAAGCACTCTCTGTCCTGTAACAACCACCTAGCTAGTTTCTCACACAGCGAACGGGACACACTGATCAAATAGGATTTTAATGAACATCAGCAGTTTGGAGCCTGAGGAATAGACGCTATGATGGCTTAGAGCTACTGACATCTAGCTTGGGTTGGATTTTCATCATCAAAAGAAACAGAGAGAAAAGGGAGAAAACATTCCTTTGCTGGTGCCTCTCACACAGACAAAACAGACTGTGAATCTAAGTGCACGCCGTCCATTCGATCACACACAAGAGGCAAATGAGAAAGCAATTGGCTGACAAGGCCATGTGTAGACCATGATCATATCATACTAACCCCGCATTATCATCAAAAAGCAGATAAGAAAAAAAAAAGGTCCTTCTTCTCTGAAGGCTTTCCTCTAGGAGCCTCTCAGTGGGAGGGAGAGTAAATAAGATGTCATCAATAATAGACAGTGAATGTTCTGAGCAGTTCCGCACACACACACACACACACACACACACACTTACACACGAGCGCCGACTGATTCCTATCCTGCAGACAGGCCTGCCAACCGCCAGGCTTTTTGCACACGCTCAGATTCACTGTCCTGACTAATCGCTTGTGATAGGGGCCTTTGCCATAATTACCCAGGGCCTTATCACAAACTTATGCGATGCATTTTTCATGTCCTGGCTGCTGGCAGTGCCTTCACTGTCTGCGCTGGCAGTCAATCCACGAAGAAGAAGAAGAAAAAAAAAAAAGACTGATCTTGGACAAATTCTCACACACACACACCAGTTCTTCTAAGAGGGCAAAACTGGTGAAAGCAGGGTGAAGGGCCAGGGAAGAGGGAGAGAAAAAAAAATGATAAAAGAGGGGAGGGGGAGGCGAGTGAGAGAGAAGATCGGGAGGGAGGGAGGGGGGCAGACAGGCAGGAAGGGGGTGGGAGATAGATAGTGAGGAAAGAAAAGAGAAAGCAAATTTTTTTTTTTTTTTTTTTACATAATGCATGAACAAGGGGGCACGAGTAGGAGGACCAAACCAGATCAAATAAATAGGAGAAGTGAAGCCTTGATGATGTGGCATAAGTGCGACACAAAGCCCGCTGGGAAGACTTGTTCACTGTCCTTTTGTCTACCCAGTTCATAGGGGCATCATGACCTAAATAAAAAGTTTAAATCCCAAGCCTGAGCAGTTCACAAAAATAATGTATGAACAATTGCGACTAACCTACATAATGCAATTTTATGTTAATCACGTCGGGAACTGGACTGCTAATATTCATAAATTTTGATTTAAAATTCAGCAATGCCGTTAAATGCCACGGGAAAACACAACAGTGCTATTGTCTACATGTCTTGTGATAGGTCAAACACGCTCTAACATACACAGGCTATATTCACACACTGAATAGGCCCCAATATTTTTCCTCCTATCCCCTCACTGTGCCGTGGATCTCTCCTCCTCTCGTGCACGTCACGATCAGCCGCGTGCACGAGACCGGGGCATTTGTGGAGTTCATATTAATCAACAAGGTCACGGTCTTTTTTTTATTTTTTCTTAATCTTTGTTTTTTTTTTTTTAATTACACAGCGTCAACACGTAACTGTCCCGTCCCCGGTGCACTTTCTCAGACGTGGCAATGTCTGTTTAAAAAAAAAAAAAAAACCTGACTGTGTGTAATTGCAGTCAGGAGAAAGAAAAAAAACAAGACGACTGAGTTCATCAACCATAAATCTCCCGAGACGACTTCTATTCAAACTGCTCCAAAAAAAAAACCCGTTAGCCGACAACGCTGCTAATGTTTTCATTCGCGTTGAAATAAACTTCACGAATGGAGAATAAAAAAGCTGAATAAACACGAGTAAAAAAAAAAAAAAAAAAAAAAAAGCTGCTGTTGTGTGTCTGAGCTGCCCGTCTCTACGGCTGGTGTCACCACAGCGCCACCGTATAATGAGTCGCACTTATTTTTTTCTCCCCCAAATTATCCAACCTTACAGCGGCTAAAGCGTCGGGCTAACTACGGCTACTCGCTCCCAGTAAAAGTTGAAGAACACGCAATAAAGACAGCAATCCGAAAGCTTTCCCCCAAAGCCCCGCCGTTTTGTTTTTATTTCAGCGCATCCCCGCGGCGTCGCCCCGGCTTGCCCAGTTGCAGTGTCCGATCGATGTGGAATTGAACAAAGAGGATCAATTTCTGATCAGCGAGAGAGCCACTTTCATCAATGTGAGGAAGAGGTCTTGAATTCTCTTCCGAAACACCTCCGAGAAGCCACGGAAAAGGCACAAAACACAGCGACCGAAAGAGACGAGCGAGCCCGAAACGAACAGAGGGCTAGACGGTTTAAACAGAGATTCAACTGACCTGTAGTTGTTGTAAGTCAAAGCGCTTCCAATATTGAAACATCGATCCTGCATTGGCCGCCATCTTGAGACATATTGAGACAGGAATGAGATGCTGATAGAGAGCGCGGGGGTTGGAGTTCAGTGGAGAGGACCGGGCGGCCGGAAGATCCGGACCGGATCACGTGAGCTGACATCACGGTGACGACTGGAGCACGGAATGGAGTCAGTCTGGAGGAGTGTATCCTTAATAACGCCATTATAATTGCTTAAATAGCTTTTCATCAACATACAGATATTACAGGTAAATAACTGAACTGGCTTTAAAATGACATTTATTCTCACGTTAAAGCACGCGAAATTGATAAAGCCAGACGAGACCGTTTTTGATGTTGTAGTTTGTGTGATGTTTATGTTTTATGCAGAGAAAAGATCATACAAAAATAATGCCAGGAGGCTCCCTGGGAGCCATATCTACAGAGAAAAAAAGTCCCATCATGCCAGCTCTTGAAAGTCGGCACTTCTGTGTAGGAAGAATGATGAGGGTTTTTCCCATGCACCTACTTTGACATCGTAATATGCTCACCTTAATGCTCCTTTGTAAAATGTTATTTCCAGAAATTCTACTTTTGGTCTCAAAACGATATTACGTTAGAAAAGGAAGTACATTTTACTTCATAAGAACGACATGATTTGTGTTTCATGGTTGTCATTTGGTTAACTAAATGTTATTGCCATTTTTCTTGCAGCATTAGAAATGTGTATTAAATAGGCCTTAAGCAGAATAAACAAAGGCCAATGCAAATGTAGACCCCAACTGAATCCACTGAGGCTGTGAAAAATACAATCCAGTGTGACAAGACTACAAAAAGGCTTATAAAACATTACATTCTAAGCAATGAAAATTAACATCAATTATTTAAAATGTCATGATTTTTACATTCATGTCATTCTATAATAAAAGGGTGGTTTTATTCAGCAAATCCAACCAAAGAGGCCTGCTCAGAACCTGCTGAATTTCAGAATGTGGAAAAGATGGAGTGGACTTAAATATGGCAGTATAGCCTACGAATCAAAAAAATCCTTAATGTGAGGATTTTTTAAAGTTTAAAATAAGAATTAAAGACTGTCTAATTTAATGGTATATTTTGCTCAACAGATAATACGCTGATTAATTAATCAAATCAGATTGTTGTGTAGTTGATCAGACAGCTCGTAGCTTGCAGCAGGGCGGCCCAGTGGTAACAGTGTCAACATGCATACAGATCTGCTGTTGAAGTGACCTTGAGCTACACAATGAACCCTGGCTGCTCCCGAGGCGTCACTCCTGCTGACCATGTCCTCTGACCCCCCCCCCCCCCCTCCCCCTCTCAGCTTGTGGATATGCAAAGAATTTCTAATTACACTGTATGTATGGAGTGCCCTAAATTCCTGTGTCAAGCTGTGCCGCCCTGTGCACCTTAAACACATCACGCCTCTGCTTCCAATTGCTCTGCACACAAACCCGAAGCCGAGCTGCACGTGTTTATCAGAGTAACCCATCTTTTTCTACACATTGTTCTCATTTGAGCTTTTTGTGGGTTCCATAATTTCACTTGTGCAGAGGGAAATAGGGCATTCACACATTTTTTTCCCCCATATATCCTCAGATCATACAGCTTTCTGTCAGCTCAGCCCTAAACAAAAATATTTCACTTCATATTTACCCTCTGATAGTTTTCATTTCCTTCGCAGCCGTTGCACGGTAGTTGCACTCAAGAATTTGCCATAAATAATAACACCTCTTTTACTGCACTCTTGTGGTAACAAAGGTGGGCATTTTGTGTGCTTAAAATTAGCTCAACTTTCAGGTCACTGCTTGATTTAATTTTTCTATTTGTGTCTGGCTCTTTCTACTGTGAGATTGGTGCTTAACTGATTTATAGCCTGAATTAATTTGTCTGATTTCATACCTCTTTTATGGCCATAAAACACACACTAAAATAAAAGCAGTCGCATGCTTTTAATAATTTGTATTAGATCACACTGTTTGTAACAAATATCACAGCTGCTTTGAAAGAAGAAAGACACACAAGCCCCATGACTCTTGTTACCGTCAGTGTCAATTACTAGTTATATTTCTATCATGATCTTCTTTTTTAAAAGTATGACCGTCTGATCTGCACTTAGAGATACATAATGAATACTTTTTAAAAGAAAAATGCGGCATATGAACCCATAAATCCTGTGTTTAATCCTCTCATTTCTTCCCCTTTCCGCCATGTTAATCAGTGCTTCCTTGGCCTGCACGACTTGTGATGCTACCTATCATTAAGCCAAACCAGAAATACAGGTCTGAGATAATCTGTACAGGCTTAGTAGCTTTGCGGTGTGTCCATTGTGCCGTGTTTGTATAGTTTTCTCTTACTATCGCACAAAGAAGACGCATCACTGACAGGAACATGATGTGATTAAGGCAGCTGATTTTTTCCTTTGATATAAAAGTAGTCCGCATCACAACAGTGATTACATCCGTCCTCCAAAAATGCATGAAATAATTAACAATCATTTATCATGCTGAGGTTTTACCCACTGTGAATGTGTAAGAGCTGTACGTTACTGTAGTTATGTAATTACTTGTCAATCATCAGGACGTCACCTTAAATACTGTTGTAGTGGTGAGAAACTTTTCAGACGTGACCATCTTTTTCCACACGTTACACTGCAAAGAGAAGACTTTGTCGTCTTTCCAAAGCTCTATAAATAAAGTACTCCACACCCTTCCAACTAAAAAAAAAAAACTTCCTCAAAACAGTTCTTTTTAATCATCCATTTAAAAGAAATCATCAGAAGTTACTGACAAAAAGGGCTGCCGTTTAATCGTCACACAATAAAAAATAAAACATGAAACAGATTGTATCCTCATTCCTACCAAAAGACTTATAAAACCGGCATTTTATCTCCAGGCGGATAATTCAACCTGTCTTTTTCTGTAGGTACATGCAGACATCTCTGACTTCTCTTTTGTATATAATCCCCTCCATGTTTTGATGCTGCAATCAGTTCAGTAGAGCGATAATTTTATTCTGCAAAATTATCTTAACGCTAAGTAAGAGTGAACATTAAAAATCGGTTGATTTTTGTAGCTGCCAGGCGCTCTCTTCTCAAACTCTCTGAATTCAAGCACACCCGTATCTCCTCGAGGATTTGACTGCAGCTCCACTAAAGGCTCTGGATTACTTTGAAGCAGTGGGGGGTACACAGTGGAAGTCAGTACAAGTAAGACTCCGAGTTATCAATCCACCTACAAATTATCATGTTCCTGTGACTGAAGCTCGAGCACGTCTGGCATGAATGACTTGAGAGGTTTTTTTTCCCCCTCTCTTGTCTTTTTTCTTGCACTCTATGTGAAAATTAAAGAGGAGGATTAAACAACGTAAATTGTTCTTGACAAGGACGGCAGAAGGAACATGTTGAGGCCCACAGATTCAGACTCATCAGTTCATGCGAACTTGGTTAAAGTTTAAATATAGAGGAGTAAACACACATTCTTTGTGTCAACGCCATTATACAACCCGATCTTAGACCGCCGTCGGAGCTACAGGCTAGAAAATAAAACAGCCTTTCTGTCCTTTAGCTCCCCCACTTTTCACTGTTTTTGTCCCTTTTTTCCTCCTGCTCATTGACTCTGCCTGCAAGGTGCTTTTAGCGGGGCCTTGTGTGGCCGGGTTAGAGATGGATGTGTGGCCCTTGGGAGCCGCAGGCAGAGAGCAACACTGATCATGTCAGACAGGCTGGGGAGGCTGCATAAGATCATCATCACCCAGCAGTGGAGTGAATCGCCGCAGTGGCACTTTCACACAACCTCTGACCTCCAGGGTAACCTCTGAGGTCATGATCAAGGTCAGGGGTCAGCGAGGGCCTCCGTGAACAGGCTCCTCCCTCCTGCCGTTTCCTACACTTCCCCCCTCCCCCCCCTTTATGATCTCTTTTTCTTCTTCTTCTTTCTTCCTCTTTCGCTCATCTTCTATCTGTTTCTTCATCACTCACACTCTCCTTCTCCAGCCGGGACCGATTGAGACGTCCCGTCCCCGGGGAGAGCAAAAAGGAAAAGCAAGAGAAAATCAATATGGAAGATGAGTGAAGACCTGGGGGTCCCATCAAGAACTGAATGCTTCTCTCTGTTCTGGCATGATTCACACAGAAACACATACAGATACACAGTTATATTACTTCTGACAATCAGGGAAGTAGCTGTAAACATGGCCTTGTACAAAACTAAAGAAAATAAGTTTGCTGAATGTTTTTTTCAGTGTTTCCCACCTGCTTTCACACTATGAAGTGCAGCATTGATCCCTGATTCGTACTAGCGTTTATCTTTTTTTATTTACTGCCTATACTGACTGTTTATAGATAGTACTTTTTCATCTTGATTTTGTTTACCTTGTGTGTACTAATGCTATATTTTTTTAAATCTTGTTTTTAGGTTTACCCTTTTTAGCATTAGCCACTGTGGTCAGTTCTTTTTCCATGTCTTGTGTTGTGCTGTTGATTGTTTGTGTAAAAGGAGGTAAATTCACTACCTGTAAACCAAATCTATAGGTACAAATAAAGTAACCTCACCTAAACTAATCTTAGAATTTCCATATACAGCGACCTGAGAAGAACTTCTTTTGCCCTTCTGCCCGTGTTGCATTCATGTACATGTACGCAATCTTGATCCCTGCATGGAGAGCCAAGATTAAGTTAATGCCCAAGACGAACATAAAAAAAATAAAAAATGTTTTCTAGCATAAGAGGAAAAACCGAGCATGCATAAATGTCAATCTTTGTGTGTCACCCCAGCTGTAATTTCAAACAAACAAAATGTCACCAGATCACCAATCAGTGCAACTTTAATTATAGCACATTTCCAGTAACATTTGCAACATTTCTGCCTTTAAAAAAAAAAAAGGGAGTAAAATAAACAACCGAAAAAGAGATAAACAAAGCTCATTCCAGTGTGTCATGTCCTGACCTCAGCCACCTCGTCTATTCTTGAGAAGAAGACATACATGTGTTTATAATGTTTGGCCTCAGCACGTATCCATAACTTATGAGTTTGCCGTGCTTCTTCTCAACACTAGATAACCCCGGGCAGGACATTAAATGATCGTCTGAAAATAGAAACTGTTCAGATGAAAGGGAGGATAAATAATGCAGAAAGAATACAAAACCTCTTATGGGGATAACTAGTCATACACACATGCACGCACGCAAACACACAAAGAGAAAAGAGAGGAGAGTTTTTCTTTTTTTGCTCCATGGTGAAGAAAAGTGAATGGATGGAACAGGAAGGAGGAGGACCCAGCGGAGACACACATGCTTCTTGCTTCATCTCCTCCCACTCCTCTGTGTCTGCCATTTTTTTCCGCTCACATACAGACTTCATGACATGCTCTGTGTCTGTGGGGAGGAATAATGTTGTCCCAGTCATTCCGTGTTTTTCCTGCCCACCAGAGATCACACACACACACACACACACACACACACACACACACACACACACACACACACACACACACACACACACACACACAACACACACACACACACACACACACACACAACACACACAGCAGCGCAGGATTTCCAAACCCCGCCGCCTCATCATTTTTTCATAAATTCTGATCAGAATAACACAAAATGACGACCTGGCCTTCTGGTCCTTAAACACATCATACACTTCTATAAGCCATCTGAGGGCTTGTGTGTTGTTTTTTTTCTATTCCTGTATTTGTTAAGGTTAGGTCACCAAATTAAAACTGTGAGTCATGTATGAAGGTTTCTGGTTAGAGGGCTTTTCAATGCTGGGTCATATCTGATAAATAAAACATTGAAGACAAACCTTTTCAAAGCCTGCGCTGCTGCCTGCCTAATTTCATGCTGAAATGTTTATTCATTGGGCAGATTAAACATGCATGCTTTGAGAAATAAATCCCACTGAAACTAAACTACACAGGCTGCCCTTCATGAGGTTATGCTTGTGGAGGGAGACACCTAGTGGTAAAATACTTACATGTGGCTTATTGAAAGATTAGAGGGGCCTTTTACTTTTCTTGAAGTTTTCTTTATTTGCCCATGAGATGTGAGGAATTGTTTCCAGTTTAATCTAATCAAAGGTAATTGGCTATAGGACTCAAAAGTATGCTGCAGAATTGACAATATTCCAGATATGCTTTTGAATTGACCCCTGGCCTTCATGATATCCTAAACTGTGTTTTTCCCCAAACAGGCTGATAGCCTATAGCCTAATGAAAGAAAATGTCTTGTTCTTTTCTAAATGACCTGATTATTAAATCAAGAGGACACTGCGCACTGGGCCAAGGTCTTTACCCAACCAAAAAGAGTCAGCAGGCCTCACAAAAGGCCCATTCAGTACTCAGAAACCCAGACCAACACTGCCACGTCAAAAATGTTTGAGCATGCAACACTGATGAAAAACGTGTTTTAGGCTACCCTAAGAAAACTGTGACGACCAGGTAGGCAATAGGGCAGGCGACAACAACACATGGAGTAATGTAACTGCTGCAGAATGTCCTGTCCTTAATTACCCTTCTTATTTTAGTTGCAAATTAAATAGTTTATATGCAAGGTGTGTCTGAGGACCAGTATAAATACATGCCGATAGATTTTTTTCTGCTTTCCCTATAAAGGTGCAGAGAACGTATGGAGGACACAGATTCTACAAAAGGAATTTGAACTTTGAGGGAAAACTGCAGTGTGACGGGGATCGATGGAAGCTGGAGAAGCACCACGTCGCTCTACAGTTCCAGCCCACAGAGCAGGAAGGCGGTGGAAACGTGGTCATCCTTTTTCTAGAAGAACCTTGTCCTCCGTTTTTGTTGCTGCCGCCGGGTTTTGGTTCTTCCTAGTAGTCTTCGTCCTTTACATCCTAGAACAGTCTGACTACGAGGAGACCCGCTCGGCCACGCTCCTGATCTGGGCGCACCCGTTCGGTCGGTACAGCAAACTTCCCGACTGCCTCGCGCTCTTTCAGATTGGAGGGTGCACGATCACAGATGACAGGAGCGCGTACCCTTTGGCTGACGCTGTCATCATTCACCACCGGGAGGTTGCTTCAGGCGCCGTGCATCTGCCAACGGAGCCGCGGCCAGGTGCGCAAAAGTGGATTTGGATGAACTACGAGTCTCCTGCGCATACGCCCAGACTGTGGCGTTTTGATGGCGTTTTCAATCTCACGCTCACCTACAGGGCGAATTCGGATATATATCTTCCCTACGGGAATGTGGTCCCTACAATAAACAGAAGACTCGACAAGAACAACTTGACACAAACGCTCCACGCGCCCGCGCGCTCTCAGCTTCTCCGGCCCCGCCTCCTTGCCTGGGTCATCAGCAATTGGTCGGAGTCTCAAGCGCGCGTGGCTTTTTACCACAAGCTCCGTCGGTACATGAGGGTGGATGTGTTCGGACGAGCAGGCCGAGCGTTACCGGGGGACAGCGGAAAGGGCAGTGTAGTGCGCATGCTCAGACAGTACCAGTTCTACCTGGCGCTGGAAAACTCCCAGCACACTGACTACATCACAGAAAAACTGTGGAACGCGGTCCTGGCCGGGGCCATCCCGGTGGTTCTTGGTCCGTCCAGGCAGAACTATGAGCGCTTCCTGCCTCCCGAGGCCTTCATCCACGTGGGTGACTTCCCCACAGTGCGCGCACTGGCTAAGTACCTGCTGAGACTGAGTCGAATCCGAACAGGCTGAGACGGCACCTGGACTGGAGGGATGGTTACAGCCTACATCAGATCTCCTTCTGGGCTGAGCATTACTGCACAGCCTGCAGGGCAGTGAGGAGGACCAGGGGCAGGACACATGTAGTCAGAGACCTGAAAAGATGGTTTTATTCGTGAGAAACGCCTGGAACTGGAACTTAGGTGGCGTTCAGACTGGGAGACAAATTATTTAAAAAATATATATTATAATAAAATCACAGCAACAAACAGTTTTCAGAAAAAAATAATATTTTTCATCAACCATGATTGTTAAGCTGACAATTTGTACTTCATACTTTATACAACTTGAATCACACTAATATATATATATAGGGGGAAAAACTTGTTTGACTGTCTATGATTCTGTTAAGCTTGTTCCTTCTGTTTGTAGGCACCCTGAAAACCCCTCTTTTCAACCTTAGCATTACAAAATACAAGTTGTATAGTGCTCACTAACTGGCAAAAAAGAAGAAGTTAAAAGCCATCTTTCTTACAAAACACTGTAATGGGTTGACCTCTAAACATCACAGAAATGGAAATCAGGGCTTAAAAGTTGGATGGATACAATGTTTAGAAAATGGGTCATCAGTTAAATTTGTATTTTGCACAGATAAAAAAAAGCTGGTATGTTTGATACTTGAAGTGCTCGGTCATGAATGTATTCTGCTTGTTATCAGCATTTTGCTGCCCTTCATAATTTTGACTGGCTATGGCATTAAGGCAAAGAAACGCTTAAAAAGAAAGCTATAATGAGTTGAACATCTGCCTGAATTTGGAAATAAAAGGAGTCACTTGATGCAGGGATCGGAAGCTGTGATGTGGCTCATTTAAATTACACCTCTGTGTTAGTGCCCTGACACAGAATTAACACTTTACTCTGTCAAATGAGACATTTCCTGCAGGCACCGAGGCATAAAATAAAAAGCTGCTCCTCATAATGAGCTGATGCCTGAACAGCTGTTGAAAACACGGACGTCTTTCAGAAATAATGCTTTCAGACGGCCAGAACAAGCAGACCAATCATCCCTGTCATAATCCCACTCATGTACCTGAGGGAATTATTAGCATATCTAGTTACTGTGAGAAAACTAACATGCATTCTTTGTATCTTATAATAGAGACACACGTCATGAACGCGTCCTGAAACTTGTTAGTCGTGTCCTTCATCAAAGTTTTTCCCTATATGCCACAGCACACCTGTCCTGCAGCGTAGCGTCTAGTGTCTGGACAGAACAGGAGCTGGACACTTGACCTTGAAGAACTTTGAGAAGATATTATGCTATAATATTTTACTGCACTTACAAACTTGAATTAAATTATTGGAAGATGTATGAAGTTAGCATTTTTAAAAGGAATTATATGTTGCAAATGAAGAGAAAAATGTTATTGGTATATTCCTAGCCACATTGCATTGTATAAATGAATATCTAAAAACAGCCCATTCTATTTGTATTATTGCTGACTAAGGCTGGTTATGACCCTATCTTGTTATGGTTCTGTTACAAGTGCCCAACAAGGCCAAAAAGTAGAGGACAGTAGAATCCAATATTGCAGGTATGTTTGAGCAAAACCAGATTGAGGAATTTTGCACAGAATGTGTGGTGAAAAATGTTTGGCTCCATCTCTTGCTCAAAGGAGCTGCACTCCCTCCTCTGGTAACCTGTAACTGTTCTTTGATTGAAGGCTTTCACTATCAAAACCAGAACAGAGACAGTCACCTGGAAAAGAGCAACCTGAGGGACACTTGAGTATATTTTGAACCATTTGCTGTGAAATTGGGAAATGTGTGTTTAGACTTGAATCACTTTTCTTTAATATCATGCCGTATCATCAGTACACTCCATGTTTGTCATATTCCTCTTATGTTTGATGCTCTTTTGTGTTACTTTTTTAGTCCTGTAATGTTGGAGCGACCTGGCACAAGAATATCCGACGGGATTAATAAAGATTGTTCTTAACTCATCCTCGCTTATTCTTTATGAGATTTGTTTTGGCGCAATGATTATTTGAGTTTATGAAAGTCATGTGAAAGTATGTGCAAACATAATGGAAGTCAAATAAACATTCAGAGTATCCTAAGCTAAAATGTGTTGTGTTGTGTTAGTTTTAGTCTAGTTTTTAAAAAAACTGATCTTATTGTTTATGTGTCTAAATGGTATTTGTTAGTTTATTTTTGTTTTTGTATATTTTGTATTCTGTGTGGTGTCTTGACTGTGATTGCAGTTGCTGCTGTGACGATGTCATTTCCAGCAAAGGATTAATAAAGTACCTATCTATCTATCTATCTATCTATCTATCTATCTATCTATCTATCTATTATTCTCTCCTGTACTTCAACTATAACTTGGCATTGACTCAGAAGCCTCATATAAAATTAATATTTGTTTTTAGTTGGTTTTTGTGTTGTTCTTTAAAGTTAATGTCATCGTTTATTCATCTTATTTTCAGTCAAGGCTTTAAGTTTCGAGTTGCTTTTATTGTCTCCCAAAAGAAAAAATGTGTTTTGGATTGAAGAGAATGCTGCATAAAACATGTCAGACAGTCAACCATATTGGAGTGGGCAACTCCGTCTCCACTCTCTGTGTTCAGTTTTAAAATATCACATTTTAGCAAAAGCAATGCAAAGAACACCTGGAAATGACACATGAAGTATCATATTAAGATGAGTCAATGTGCATCATGTCTGCAGATATGATCAGTTGTTAGTTGTAGGTGTACCTGTGTTTTATCAGGAAGTGACCTTGAGGAGACAACTCATGATGCCTTCAAGGTCTCTGACCCAGAAGTAACAGCAGTCCATCGAGGGCTGCTGTGTGCTTTTCTGTCCTTCTCTCTCGAACATGACCACGGGAGGTCCACCTGTGGCTCATGGTGCCTCTCACAGGGATTAAGCACTCAAATTTGAACTTTGAATTGCCATGTTGAGTACAAACACGTAAGTGATTAACAGAGTTTCAGATGATGCAAACCCTGTTCAGTGAAACACAGATCGCGGATGATTCCAAATCAAAGAGATGGAAACAGTAAATCTCCCTTCCCGTTCCTCTCCTGCAGCAGGATAACATATCACCCCGAGTCACAGGCTGACAAGTTTACAGAGAATGAGGTGAGTTGTTGCTTGGCAACAAGGTGAAATATTGGCGGTATCACTGTGAGATATGTGATTCAGTGGAACGGGTGGCGGAGAGTTGCAGTGCAGATGAACAAGGCGAAGGTGAACGCCGATGAATACCCAGAATCTGCAGCAATTTAATGTGATTTAAACCCTTTAACTATACCAGCCCCAGCTTATTACAAAGATCCTTCTCAGCTCTTTTTTTTTTCCCAGACCCCCTTCTGCAGCAACAGTGCCATTCATAACCTACATGGCCCCTGGCTAGAGACACAGTAATCTTGTTTGTGCAGCAACAGATGTTTCTCTTAAAAACATCCGTTGACTGGGGAGTGAAAAGTCTGCCTCTCGTTCTCTCAGGGGATCAAAGAGACCAGTCTAATCGCTATGAAATCTGTCACATTTGTACTGGTTTGAGGAGACATATTGACTTACAGTAGGCTTATTATGTTGTGAAAAGTAAACCCAGACTACATTCACTTATTTTCATGCTTTTTTTTTTTTTTTTTTTTTTTTTTAAACATCAAAAGACCTTATCTAGAAAATGGGAGGAAAAAAATGCATATGAAACAACAAAACCCCCAGACAAATAAACAGTGTGGTGTTCCCATGGCAGCGTGGTGTAGTAATCTGACGGCTGGTTTCCCATGGCTGTGTCTCGCTGCCCCATAGACCTCCACTCTGTCTCACTGATGGCTCCTGTGATTGCAATCATCCATCTTACTGTCAAAGGCAAAAAAAAAAAAAAAAGGGCAAGAAAGGGGGGAAATCACACACACCATCTCCTTCTCTCTCGCTCCCTCATGTCCTGCAAACAAGCCACCCCACTGTGAGCAGAGACAGCAAATGGACCACAATCCCTTCGCTTTGTGTTTGTGTTTGTGTGTCCATGCTTACACGATCAACAGGAGAGAACATGTGTGGGTGTGCATCTTTGGTTGTCTGTGCGTGCCCATTACACTGCATGATCAGTCACTGGAGTGTGCACTGGGGGGAGCGGTGGACATGTCTGATCTCGCAGCTGATCAAAAGCACCAGAGACTTGTTCCCTTGTGGCCATGCGAGTGGGGCCTCATATCAACATGTCTCTGTTCAGTAGACAGGAAAAACAAGAGAAGAAGAACAGGCAGAGAAAGAGGAGGAGGGATGGGGGTTTACATCAGGAGAAAGACGGAAACAGGCACAGATGAAAGGGTGCACAAAAATGCCAGGGCGGTATATATGACAATGATACATGAGTGCACTTATCTCCCTGTTCTGATGAGCTAATTGAATGGCAAAAGGAAGATCTGTACTTATCTGTAGATCAAATAGCATTTGTGATCACACTCTGCAAATCTGACGGCGCTCTGTATCATAAAAGGCAAGAAATGTAAAAAAAAAAAAAAAAGAAAGAAAAAAGGAATTAAAACCTTAACCTGTTCGCTTACAGGTGACTCAGATGTTTGCATACTTCCCCTCTGGATGTCGGCGATAACCTTGACAACAACAACTTGTGTTATGTGATCACCCACAGAGACGACAAAGAGCAAAAGAGTAAAAAAAAAAAAAAAGGAGACAAAACAGAGGGATGAAAGGAGAAGGAAGAAGAGGAGCTGTAAATAGTGTCACCATGCTGTGAAGTTGTGGTGTACAGCATGTGTAAATGTAATTATGTGTAATAAAGTGGTGACTCCACGAAATGAATCCCTTTGTTGTTGAGACTTTAATCTGACTTCAATTATCAACACAGATATATCTGCTGAGCGTTATGTCCCGCAAATTCAACAACAAAGTTGAATGTTTGGCATAAAAGATAATGAAACATGTTACATACACAACAAAAAGGAGTCTTTAAGGAAGTCAGCCTCAGCCCTTAATAAAATATAAAACGTTACCAGAGCCTGAAAAAAAGATACAAACAAGTTCAAGTGTTTTGTGTTCAAAAAATAGTTTGTTATCTTGGGAAGATGCTTATTTGCTTTCATGTTAAAAATCAGATGGGCTTATTATTACAAGTGTAAGAACATCTGCCAGCAGAGGGTTAGCTTAGCTTAGCACAAGACAGATAACTGAGTGAAACAGATAGCCTCGCTTTGCTAAAAGCTACCACACCTCGCTCCCCTCAGGCTCACTAATAACGTTTGTTTGTTGTATCCAATACAAATTAGAAATATAAAATGTGTTTTAAATTTTAGTTTGATTTCGTTTGGTTGCCACTATTTCTTCTGTGGGAGCAGTGACTTTGTGAAGTCTGAATTTAAGAAATGTTAAATCAAGGAGAAAAAGAAGCCGCCCGGTAGTCTGGCTTTAGATTGTTCACACATGGTGACAGAAGCGTGAAATAAACATTGGCATCCATTCACGTCTTGTTGTCTTTGATTCTAAGTAGCCGTGGTGGTGTTTGTGTGTGTGTGGTGATGTGGGGGGAGGTCCGATCTTGGCACCTGAGTGGTCAAAGAGGTAACCTACATCTAATTTCTTTTTTTATTTTTATCCTGTGCATGTGAAAGTAGTGTTTTTATGACCCCCCCAAAAAACTCATCCTTTTTTCTTTCATCATTCAAAACTTAACCCTCACCCTGAATGTATGAAGGCTGTGTCTGCCACCTGCTGTTAAAACTCCTTTTCTGACACCCAGCCCTACTTAATGATCAATCGAAATGCCGATGGTCTTTGTTTGTATTTCTAGGTAAGTCTTTATGTCTGTTTCACATCCTGCTAAACACTCCTCACAGGAGTGATCAGGTTGAACTAGACAAATCGTTGCATTGCATAACTCCAATTAAATAACATTGAATGAAAAATGTTACACAAGCATACCAATTAAATGGTATTAATTATAATAATTATTATTATAATAAGGTCTCTTTAACATGTCAGTATAGATCTTTTTATCTTGTCTGAGGTGTTGCAGTTGAAGTTCTCTAAATAGAGAAATACAGTCAGTAGGAGACTTTTCCGCCCTTGCTTTGTAAATATTTGAGTGTAAATAATTTGACTCTAACGCAGTATTGTTGTCATAATGAGCGTCCTGATAATTGTTCTGTGTCATACGTTGGACAGAGCTAGCCTATAGCACGTTCTCCATATTGCCAGTCTTTGCACTAACATATTTAGCATATGATCTTGTGAGTAGTAAAAATATTCTCTTCAGTTCTCTGTTAAAAAGAAAAAAAGCACATATTCAAAACTATTCCTTTACAGATGAACCTTGTGATGGAGAAAACAAAAGTTGTAACAAGCTTTATACTCAGGGGCCAAAAGACTCTGAGACTTATTGTACAATAATCATATCAGTTTGGAAACAAATCTCAGAGGCAGTTTGTGTAAAAGTCCATGAAATCTTTTCAGGTCTGGAGCTCAAACAGCCAGTCTGCTGGAGGTGCACTGGGGACGAAGTGGTTTGTGGCTTCCAGGCCAAAACTCAACAGCTTCAGCATCTTTTTCCTTTTTCGAGATCCAGATGTGTGTTCTCCAGATGTTATTCATTTCACCTAACTTTATTTTAAGCAGATACTCTTGGCAGCTTGTCTTGTCTTACCTCAGTTTTAACAAGGCATAGCAACCAGACAGAGACAGGGAGAAGCAAAAATGAAGAAATATGTTTGACAGGTTAACAGGTTTGAGAAAGATGCCAAAAGCTTCATGACATTTTACGAGACTATATTTCTTCATGCAACATCGTACAGTACAAGTACGGTTGCTAAAGTAATGTAGGATTAACAGAGTCAAAAACCTGTCCATGTGAATGAAATGCTCAGCATCTCAAGCCTGCAAAGAGCCTTGTTTTTACAGCTGTACTCATTCATAGTAAACAAAACAATAAAAGGCAAAAAGATTGTAATAAAATCAGCACGAGACACATGAAATAAACAAATATTGTACGTCCAGTCAAGCAATATCTGCAACTTCCATTACTATTGTACACAATACATACAAAATGAGACGACACTCTCAAAGGGACGTTCGCCTTTGTCTCTCCCCCAGTGCCGGTGATAGAGGAGGGGTCTGAACAGGCTGAAGGCGCTTGATCTTTATAGTAGAGAAAGAGAGGGGGTCCGATATGCTTCCAAATCCAGATCCTTCAGAGTTATCTATAAATGTAAAGACGTGAACAACAGAGAAATAAGCATCCAAAACAATCCTTCTCTAACTGCTGCTTGAAATGAAGTATTTGACATGTTTGGAAAACGGCTTGTTCACTCTCTGTTCACTGGAAAAGGTGAGAGACAGCTAGCTCGATAGCTAGCCTTACAAAACATTGTTGTGCATCTAAAAATAAAACACCAAATAGTAAGACTGATATTCATGTGTGGGACTATTTCTTGGATGAGCTCATGGATGCGAGGCAAGGCTCAGATCCAAGAGTTAGACCTGCACAACACCCTTCATGAAACAGTCAATTGAGGTCAAGTTGCTTGGATTTTGGTACTGATTAAAAAAAAATGATTAAACACCTAGAGCAAGTCTTATAGGTGCTGGTAGGCGGATTTTATTACAAGCTAGCTGTTACCCTCTGTTTCCAGTCTTTGTGCTAAGCTACGCTAACTGAAGGTTGAACGTGCAATTCTATTCCAACGCACTCTTCATCAAATTTGGAAAGCTAAAACTTGTTGTGAGAATGAGAAGCTGGTGTTTGTATCAAGCGCTGGCTGCCTAAATGAGAAAAGAAGCGGCTGGAAAAGTCTAACATGTGACTTTTGTGAAATAGCAGCAGCTGGCCTAACTTCTGCCTCTGCTGTCTCATCTCCCTATATGGAACAAAGCTAGATCGTGATAAGACCATTTTGAGGCTAATTTACCCTTAAGCAGGAGACGCTCCAGATTCCTCCATACTGGTTTTAATTATTAGTGGGGGTTGATTCTCCGGAAATGTGCATCCATGAATTCGGGAGATGGAGCATTTGAAGAGATGCATAGAATAAGAGTTTGAATTTGTACACCTTAGTGTTGCTAATGAGTGGAGTGTGTTAGCTTTTGCTTGAGCAAGGTCAACTGTTCCCCCCTTGGTTTCAGTCTTCTGTATCTTCTGTGCTTAGCTAGGCTAAATGTAGCTACTGGTTGACAAGTTTCTGAGTGTTATCAATCTTCTCATGTACCTCTAAGTAGAGAGCGATTTAGCACGTTTCCCAAAATTGTCAAACTATTTCTCTGGCGTAATGATTCTGAACCCAGATCAAATGTTTGCCTCCATCTTTGTTTTGCTCCTCACCATGAATGCCGATCATGTGCTCCAGGATCAGGACCCTCTCAGCCAGTATTTTCAGGGCCTCCCTGAGCTGCTGCACGGCCTCGCCCTGAAAAACACCAACATGTTTTTTTTTTCATTTTGGGGCATTTTTTTGAATGACCTCAGCAGGAAAATAGACTTTATCCCTCACCTCATTCAAGCCTTCTCCAGGCTCTCCTTTTGGCCCTGGTGCTCCCTGTGAAACGAGATTAAATTAATCTTGTCATCTCTGTGTTTTGTATGTGTATGTTTGTTTTATGCAACATACAGCCCTCATACTTACAGGTAGACCCTGCTGGCCTGTCACACCTGGAGATCCCTGGTTGAGAAGGAACAGAGAGGAATAATTTAGGCCGTCTCCGCTCGCACACAAACTCTTTATCCCCCGTGTTAATCTGCCTCTTCACCAGATCTCCAATCTTAAATCATGCTAGTTTAGAATGGGATCAGGTTTAAAGACAGAGGGACGGATAAAAGCGAGGAGCTGACATGGCCGCTCTGATTAGTGAGGCCCGGCCTCGGATGAGAGCAGAGAGAAAAAGAGGAGGATTAGTCACAGCTCTGAGTGCGTCTTTGAAGAAAAGCTTGTCCACCTTTAATGTGTTTAAGATTGCATGACAGCTAGGAACATTTACAAACCGTAAAACAGAAAGCGTTTTGATAGTTCATCAGAATCAAATATGTTCAGCCAGCGTGCTAATCCAATAACGACAGGGGCTTTACCCAGCCTCACCTTTTCCCCTGGATCTCCTTTAGACCCGGGATTGCCAGACTTGCCTTGGGGGCCATCTTTACCCTAATGTAGGAAAAATGGAAGATCAGGCATTAATGAAATAAACTGAAACTGAAATAAAACAATGATTATTCTATTGATTTGCACACACTCACATCTTGTCCAGGGCGGCCTGATATCCCTGCAGGTCCTTGCAGTCCTTGCAGTCCTGGAGGTCCTGGAGTGTCATTCAGAAGAAAGAAAACACTCACACATGAGGGGGATTATGTCAGAATGTTTACATTTTTCTCTGACATTTGCACAATGTCAAAATATAATCCAATGTATTAAACGATGCTTTATTTAATTACAAAATGAGAGAGAACTGCCAGGATTTTCAAACAAAAACTTCATATTTTCTGTATTTATTTTGAAATTTCTATTAAATTAAGACTCTTAGATTAAAAAAACAAGAGTCTGGTGGCGCAGTGGTTAGTGCGTGCCCCATGTATGGAGGCTATGGTCCTCCAAGTGGGCGGCCCAGGTTCGAATCCCACCTGTGGCTCCTTTCCTGCATGTCATTCCCCACTCTCTCTCTCCCTGATTTCCATCTCTATCCACTTTCCTATCTCTCCATTAATGGCACAAAAAGCCCAAAAATAAGAGTCATATTCTTGAATCTGCTTTAATCAAGTCTTCTTGACTAATAATTAATGTCCTTGTTTTGATCCCACATAAAACATCAAATAGATTTTTAAATTTCCTATGGAGCAGTGATTTGTTGCCACTTAGAAGCATAATACATTTCTATATTCTTTTAAATGACTGAAGACATGCTGTGCTGTTTCAGCTGAACTTCTGGGCATTTATTCATACCTGAGGGGCCGACAGGACCAGCTGGACCAGGAGGTCCGGCAACAATCTCAGGAGGAGTGAGAGCTGGACTGACGTGGAACTCCTCTGGAAAAATAAATAATAATAATTTTAAAAAATGTAAATAAAAAGTGTTGCTCAAGCTTTGTACAAACATAATCTTGAATAATTGGGAAAAAAATGCTGATTGAGGATTCAGTTAGAAACTCATTTAGATCACGTCAAGAAACTATGTGAATGTGCCGTCACCTTAAATACCTTCAGCAACAGCAATGTGAAGAGTAACGCCCTTTTACATTTCAACGATATACAGTTGTCTTTATTTACATAATCGTTATTGTTTCTGGGATCAACACTGTGTTAAGAAGCATGAGGTGACCAATAGTAAACATGTTAACTGAATCCCCGTCAGACGAGGGCCTCTCTGTGAGGAGGAAGGAAACATCAGATATGTGGCTGCACGAGCTGGGGATTGAACCCCCAACCTTTCGGTTTAGAGGTAACCGGAGTAAAACATTGACAGAGAGTTAAAATGCACACATCAAAACACTTCAATAAGGTTTTAAAGTCATTAGCTGCAGTGAGAAACTGAACACTTAATGGACACGTAATTTATTATTCAACTCAGTTTCCTCATAGGAAATGCAACAGAGGTGATCAATCATGATGTGTTTAAGGCACAGCCAAATAGATCATGAGTGTGCATTATTGGATAATTCCAATGATACTTTACTCTTCTACTTTTACACACGTGTTTGTTTTGTTTTACATACCTCTGAGCGGTTGTCATGACTTTTTGTTTTTACAACAATCAACACACCCATACAACAGGGCTCTAACAGCTTTAGTCACAGCGGGTTAGGATCCTGTTTAACCTAACTGAAGAGTTAAGACATCAAAAGTCAGCAGTCAGGCTACAGATTTTTATCCTCAGTCAACAGTAGGATTAGATCCACTTTGAGCGACAGGAACAGCTGGTCAATCTCAAATTTGTCCCACTAATGGAGCTGTAAATGTTTGGGTATAACTTCTCTTGACCAAAAAACACTCCGGAGGTGGAAGTTGTTCCTTGTTCACAGCATGTAGGATGTTTTAAAGTATGCTTGTAAGTTTAAATTTGTTAGAAACCGCACCACACTTCCCCTCCACTTCAACATATGTTAGGAATCAGTCTTCCCCCGTGTTGAGACAGCGCTGTTACACCGTGGCTGCAGTCCACAGAGCAGCTCGAGAAGGAGCAGATTTCCCTCTGGAACTCATTTTCTAATGTTACAGTCTCCCCCAGCCTGGCTGCCTCCCCGAGAAACTCGACATGAGTGGCAGACTATCTCCTCCCTCCTTCATAGCCGGCCCAGATTTTGGCTCGGGGCCTCGGCCTGTTCCCCCCAAACGCAGACTGTTGTGCTGACAGCTAACAAATTAGGCCTGATTTACAGCCAGTTGGCCCCCCTCAGCTTACATGGTCCCACAGACCCAAATCTACATAGTTCCAGACCCGCAGACACAGTCCCAGGCTCAGAAAGGCAGACGCAGCCAAAAAGCCTAATCAGAGCCAGCAGTCCTCATGAGGTAGTGATTATAGCATGGACTTCTGCTGCCTCCCTGTGGTGAAAGCTGGGTGTTGAATGTCAGAGATGTAACTTGTCTTTTAAAACATATGGCGGTTTAGGAGTTTGTAACAGTAAAAAACAACAACAATGATCTTATTTGTAGTTTTGAGTTTAGATTGCAGGAATCTTTGAGGAGTGCAGAAGAAGGTTGGAGACAAATGTCTATCCTTCAAATGAATTCAGTTTTATTTAAAACCATCTGAGCTAATTCATTAATGTTGTATTTGGCTCCATAGTTGTTGCTGCTTAATGAGGTGACAGTAAACAGTGGCTCAGCTGCAGCAAAACACAAGGAAACAATTATCTAAATGTAAGCCAGCCCTTCACTGACTGCACAGAAACAATCCTCTCTCCTTTATGAACTTACCGTCACTGAAATCTAAAGACACATCTTTCTCATTTTTAAACTTGAAAGCATGCTTTGGTCTCTATGCTTCCACCTCTGACCCTTTCAAACTATTTTCCAAACATTAAATCCCATCTTGCCTGAGTTCACATTCTGCCTGTCAAATTTACAGAGAAAAGAACAGGATAGACGTACTGCATGAAAACTGAAGCACGCGACTCATTGTAGGATGAAGCGTGCATAAATGGACCTGTGGTTTTGGCATAAATTCAGCCCATCCAGAAAGTGAACGCTTCAATAGTTTTACAAATTGTTCTCAGGTCAAAAATCAACCGTGTGTGTGTGTGTGTGTGTGTGTGATCGACATCTATTATGTTCTCATTTGAGGCCATCTGGGACATTTTAGCCCTAAGTAATGTAATGTAAAACAGGGAATGTGGGAGGTTGAATTATTTGCTCACCTTGATTGTCCACATGAAAAACGTCACCCCGCTCTCTGACGGGAAAGGAGCTCGGCCCCGGAGCACCCGGTGGACCAGGAGGGCCGGGGAGACCAGCTTCACCTGGTAGACCTCTGCCACCCTTTGGTCCTGAACACAAAGGGAAAATACAACACAAAACAAAGTCAACAGATAAGTTAAGTCATTTTAAATGGCATCTTTCTCAACCCATCTTCAAATAAGCAGACTAAACTGGAAGGTCTCATCCTTGATATTTTACCTGTGGGTCCAGGTAGGCCTGCTCTTCCAACAGGACCAGGAGGTCCAGCAGAACCTGGCAGTCCGATTGGTCCAGGAGGCCCTCGATTTCCTGAAACATTTAAACACAAGGTAAGACAATCACAGTCAGATGTAGATTTTCAGAAATATATAAAATATATATATATATATAAATATATATATATGGAAAATTTTCAGGGTTGCTTTGTGCTTTGCCATGAAAAGTTAAGAAAACTCCACTTAATAAGACCTTAAATTAAAAGTATATTTTAGGATGTGCCGGCACCTTGTGGCAGGTGTGACGGTGGTGCAATAGGAGTGGGTTGGGGTGCATCCACCTCATTGTCTGTCGAGCCCTCTGGTAAATTGTTGACTTTCAACAAGGATGAACGTCCCTCTTCTAAAAGCTTGATCTGGAACAAGAGCAGCAGATTTAAGACAAATCTTCTTCTCTGGTAAACAGGATGAAGTCTGATCTATCTTTTTTTTTTTTACCTTCGATTCAATGGCGTTTATTCTGCTGTTCATGTCAGAGAAGCTGGTACAGTTCAGACATTCTGTAAAGAAGAGACACAGACATTAAGTTTCAAGGCAATCCTATTTCTTATTTCCCATCTGCCTTTTTTCTTTTCCTTAATGCTTTATTTTTTTCTTCCTGGCACCATCAAAAGTGTCTATCTACATCACATGGAGCCAGCCAACATACATACAACATCCATCAAACCAGACCCCCGTATTTATGAGGGGTCCATAAATCATGTCACTCACTCACAGAATAAATATTATTTGACCTCTTGTAAAAATCCTCCCTCTCCATGACACACACAAACACAGGCCTAACGCACACCTGCTCGTCTCCTGACTCTGCAGGTTTTCTGTGTGTCTGCCCCCTCACAGGGTGTAAAACTGCTCCCTTTGACTTTTCCATTAAAAAAAAAATGGAGGCTTTTAAAAATTGTATCTTCAGTACAAGAAGCAACAAAGGCAAAGACAAATGCTTTGGATTGTTTGTTTTCGTCTTTTTTCTATTCTTTGACAAAAAGAGGAATGTTGAATATTTACAGATCTATTGCTTGATAAAAATGTTTTTTCTGTTTGACTTTGGCAACTGAAAAATATTACTATGCATGCACAATGTTGTAATGCTTGTTTAGCAGGGATTTTTGATGCCATCATCGCTCTATTTTGGACACTCTGGTCCCTTCTCTTACAAATTATACCATTCAAGCTACCACTAAAACCACAGATACCTACACATTCCTCACTGTGCTGCAGTTTTGGATGCTTTACGTGAGCTGTAACTCGAAATCCAAAACACAGAATAGTACAGTCCTTGGAAGAAACCCAGAATTTGTTCTAAATGTGTGCCTTCCTCTGGTCGACGGACCATAAGACGTCTGGAATGTCAGCTGTCAGTCCCACAGATGGGACCCACCCACATTGTGGTCATAGTGGGGATACCTAGAATGAGGAACAACTGGTGGTCATAAATAACTACAGGCACAAACAAAAATGACCCAAACTGCTCTGTTTTTTTTGTCTAAATCATTATCTCTGACTGCAGCACACAGGGTACAAATGGTTGCAGCTGAGGTTTCTGTGTCACTGAAATAGCACAGGGTGAGCGTCTGAGCCGAATCTGTGAGTGTCTACAATCTTTTACATCCAGTCCAATGATGTATGGGACAGTGTGTGGGTGCGGCTTCTCAATGCTTCAACATCTTTAATCTCTCCCTGGAGACGAGCCACAAAGGGAAACAACAATCAACAGCTCAAGGCGAAAAAACATTCCCCAGGACACAAAAACCCAAATACATTGAGATGTTTCACCAAAATCACCCAACATGAGCTGTTTGTTGTGACTGACTGCGCAGAAAATGCTACTAGGACACAACACTGCACAAAGGCAAGACTGCGGGCAATCATGAGCTCCACAATGTGAGAGAAGTGATGAGTTGATATGCCTTCATCTCGCCGCATTGTTAGGCATCATCAGCCCAAAGGAAGTCTCCACCCTCTTAGCGCATCAATCTGCGATGCATTCCTGCAGTTATTCTTTGATGATGTGGTGACATTTAGTTTTTAACAGCACTTGCGGCGTGGCTCGGACTGGAAGGTGGGAAGGTCCCACACTTTGGTGCAGACTGAAATATCTCAACTGCAGTCATAGTTTCCAGAGGATTAAGCCTGATCATTTTAGTGAGCCATTGTTTTTTTCCTCTGGTGAAACCACAAGGTTTTGGTTTTGGTTTTGGTTTTGGTAAATAAATTCACGACTATTGGATGGATTGTCATCAAATATGGAGCAGAAAGCTTTCCATACTTCCAGAGTATCAATCCCAATGACTTGACTTTTCCTAAAGTGCGAGCAGCACGTCAAAGTTTAAACTTAAGAATCTGGTGTTGCGTTTTGTACTCATGTGAATGCCTTTCTAAGGATGGATTGTAGTCATAACTGTAAATCATTGGTGCTTGCAATTACACAAACATAAACAAAATAGTTATATACTTATACTTAATCAAACTTAACTATCAGCTTCTGATGTGCTCGGCCTGAACAAACATTCTATGCTAAGATGGTAAACATTGGAGGAAGTTTAAATTTGCGTTCAAGAACTACTACAACCTCTTTCAAAAATCACACTGTCATTTATATTGTAGCAAATGACTAAAATCACATTGTTTAGATGCTAGCATACTGATCATAGACTGTGTAAAACATAGTCTCTATGTTGTCACTGCATGGTTTCTGAAGAGGGGTTGTGATTGTGGTCATTCTACCAAATTGATCAATCTAGAAAAAGGCAAAGAGGTGAAGCTGAGGCAACTCTAAGCCTTGATATAAACAAAATGGGCGAGTTCTGAAAGAATCCCCTGCATACAGTTAATATGAATAAATAAATGAGTTTAGAGACCAAAACCATTTTTTGAGCCAGGTTGTAAACATGTGTTGTGTCTGCTGTTAAATTGGCATTTCCACAAGGGATCTAAATTTGTTTTCTGAGCTTTTGGAGAAAGCCTCAAGTGGATACTGGAGGAACCTCAGGGTTTTTTGCATCTCCACTCATGATGCATTCTCAAATATTGGTGGAAAGTGTAACCGCAGACGTACTTTTACTATAATATTGATAATGAAATAAGTACGATGGCTTTCTGCTCCTAAGACACTAAAGAAAGGTTGCAGGTCCAATGATCACAGCTAATGAGATAACTTGTTTAATTAGGTGTCAGAAAGAAACCACCCAAGTCTTATTGTGTTAACATGCACTCAATGAAAACACCAGAACTGAGCCACTCTGCCATAAATATGAGCCAGCAGAGCAAAACATCTTTTTTTTTTCTCTCTCTAGAAAGGTGGCAGGCGGATATCCGTCACTGCAGTTGGAATTTAATTATGTTGGGTTAGAAAACCAAACTTCCGCTGGGCTTGAGCTGATGTTTAGAGCAGGACCGCAGCTACAGAGTCTGTTTGGATCCATAATTACACCATGGCAACGTAAGACCGGGTTATTTTTCTTGGATGGGGCTCAGCTCATGGGAAATATTCAGAATTGTGTTGTCTTTAGTGGGAAGCCAAATAAACAGAAAGAATGGGGAACGTTTTTGGCTCAAAAAAGATGTGAGGTAAGAATTGTTATGTTTGTGGTTTTTTTTTTTTGAGTTTCAGTAACTTGTCTTCACTGGAAATGTACTGAGATTTAGGGCTGTATGTTGATTAAAGAATCATTATGTAATTGAACAAAACAACCACAAACTTAAATGACACAACATGACATCTATTAAAACATAATATTGCTCGGTAATGCAGCATGCAAAAAGATAACATGTCCATTGATAATGTGATTTGGTGGCAGATCTGCCTTATGTGATCATCTCAAGTGTAAAGTGGATGAAAACTAAGAGACGAGAGCAGACGGGCTGCTTGGCTCAAAGTCCCTCCAGGCAAAGCACAGCAGAGAGTAAACAAGATTAGAAACTCTTGGAAGATAAATCTTCATTTAAACAAAAGGGGAAGCAAAACATTGACCATATTTCATCTCCGCAAACCAAAGAAAGAAAGAAAGAAAACAGACTGGTTTAATGAATCACCCCCCCATCCCCTCCCCCGCCCCAGTAGTGTGGGATTCATAGTACAAGACAGCACAGGATATTTTGGCACGAGTGTAAATCAGACTGTGGGCATCGTCTGTTGAAACATTTCCTACATTAGACCTGGATACAGATCAAAGAAATCTCTTTCTTTCTTGCAGCTTTTTTTTTTTTTACACACACAAACACAGGCAGACAGACAACTGCAAAACAAACCATGACGCACACAGCTGTGGATGGTCGTTTTCATAATGCTTTCTCTGTCTGTTAGAGTGAGCAGGACGGAAGGATGATGTATTGAAAGATCTTTTTGGACCGTCTGTAGAGTCGCTGTCACACCCCCAAGATACACAGACAAGTGTGTGCCCAGTCTGTAAGCTGTTTGTGTGTTTGTGTGTGTGTGTGTGTGTGTGTGTGTGTGTGGACCACAGTCGGAGTCCAAGAGCTGGCTGTGTCCCATGAGCCTGTTGTGTGTCTGCCCCAGCCAGCAAGTGGTCAGCTATTGCTGGCATAGAGAACAGCTGGCACAGAACACACACAAAGATACACAAACAAACAGACAGATAGACACACACTCCTACTGTCGAAAACTCTCTCACTGAATCACTCACACACACACTTTGACCGGGGTGGTTATGCAGGACAGTAAATTCAACTTTTTTTAAAAACCACTATGTCTAGTAGTAGACAGTGAGACCATTTAGCATTTTTTCCCCATGATGCTAGCTGACAGGCTACACACTATTTCATTAACGTGAATATGTGAAACATTTTGAATAAAAAAAAAAATATTTGGCCAGCGATGGAACTAACCATTAAATTTGATGCACGGTGCCCTTATTACCTGAAAGAACAAGAGTCGTTCAACATCATTAAAACTCTCAGTGGCCATATTCCCCTGATGTCACGTTCAAATGTTATTATAATGTTGTTCTTCTGTGTTTCATGTTGCAACTTGTATTAATGTGGACAGTCTGAAGATACTGAGAGAAATTGGACAGTCTCATTTGGAGGGTAAGAGGCCATGTTTTAATTACACAAATACACGTGATAACCAAAAGGTTTTTAAACAACTGCTCATGCTTAAATTAAACCACTTCTAACCTAATGTTACCTTTAGCTAGGAGTGTACACTTTTATTATCGTATTTTTTTACCTACAGAGCAGTAGGACGTGGTTGAATGCTAACATTAGATGTTGTTTGATGCTAGCATTCAGCCATTTCTGTTCTGAAGTTATTGTAGAGATTTCCACATCTTCTGTTATATTATTTAACGTTAACCAGCGGTAATGTTAGCTCGGATGTTTGGTTAAATGCTAACATCGGCTGTTTTCTGACAGGGACTCCTGGTTATCAAATGTCGTTTTAGCTTGAAATATGTCTTGATAATCTGTCTTTACAGATGAGGATCATTCAAAAAGCGGTGAAACTTGAATTTTTTTTTTTTTTTTACAACATGCAACCTGG